GTGGGTGCCTGTAGTTCCAGCTACTTGGGAGGCGGAGGCAGGAGACTCACTTGAGCCCAGGAGTTGGAGGTTGCTGTGAGCTGTTATGCCACAACACTCTACCCAGGGCAACAGCTTGAGGCTCCGTTTCCCAAAAAAAAACTGTCTCAAAAAAAATAAAAAATAACAATTCATCAATCAACAGGCATCATTTTAACACCAATGTACCCAGCAACTGATCGATGTTGAAGGAAATAAGTTCAAGAGGTGTCTTCACACAGAGGTACTGTTCAGAGAGGATACCTGGGAAGGGTGAGGTCTAGGAGCACAGAGGTCTTCTCAAGGAGACCCCAAGCATACACCTTACAGGGTCCTCTCCATGGTGACTCAGCTCTTAGGAATTGGTAGACTTAACTTCCTGGGACCTGGAAATTTCTGCTTCTGTGAAATCCTGTAGTTCTTTGGGTGCTGGAATAGCTTCTCCCACTTGATTCAAACTGATCGATAAGGATTAGAGCTTTTTGACTGGAGATAAAAAGGGAAAGACCTAGCCAGTCAGGGCGTGCGGCCATTTTGAATTCTTCTATGCTGTTTGTTCCACCGGCTGAAATAAAGCCTTTTCTCTTATCACCATGGTGTTTGGGTGCTCTTTCTCTCCATTGGGCCTTGTCTTCCTGCAACACTGTAACTGAGAGGAAAAAATGCCCTTCATGGCAAAATAGTTTGGAAAACAATAGTTTGATATTCAATGGATTATTATGAAATAGTGTTGGAGAAAAATAGATATTAAGACAGAAAAATGCCTGTTAAACTATTGTGTACAAAGATGCAAGGTTATATATACAATTATATAAAATAAAAAATTAACATTTATTTCAACATCTCTTAAGTATGTGTGAAATACCAGTTCAATGAAGAAAACAAAAGAAAAAATATGATCTATATGTTCTATCCTTTTACTATACACTTTTATAGCAGCAATGTACAAAGGTTTGTAAACTGCTTTCTTGCAAAGAAAAATATATCATTTATACCTTCCATATCTTTTTTTTTTTTTTCTGGAGACAGAGTCTCACTGGGTGGCACAATCACAGAACTGCTGCCTTGACCTTCTGGTCACAAGGTTTCCTCCCACCTCAGCCTCCACAGGAGCTGGGGCTATAGGCACAAGCCACTGCACCTGCCCTAAGTATTACTGTATATACTTTTAAAGTGTTAACAAAGCATTATTCTGTTTGACAAAAATTATGAGCTGGCTTGGTGCCTGTGGCTTAAGCGGCAAAGGTGCCAGCCACATACACCTGAGCTGGTGGGTTCGAATCCAGCCTGGGCCTGCCAAACAACAATGATGGCTATAACCAAAAAAATAGCTGGGCATTGTAGCAGGCACCTATAATCCCAGCTACTTGGGAAGCGGAGGCAGGAGAATTGCTTGAGCTTAGGAGTTGGAGGTTGCTGTGAGCTGTGATGCCTCAGCATTCTACCCAGGGCAACAGCTTGAGGCTCTGTCTCAAAAAAAAAAAGAACCTGCCAGCCTTGGTGTATGAGACCGGCGCCCTATTGACTGAGCTACATGTGCCACCCCTAGGTGACATTTTCTTATAGCAGCCTATGCAGACTATATAATGTCCTTATAAGAGACAAGGTCTGGTTATGTTGACCAGACCAACGGTCTCGAACTCTGGGCTCAAAGAATCCTCCCACCTCAGCCTCCCAAAGTGCTGAGACTAAAAGCAATAATATATATATTACAAATACATATATATTATATTTATGTTATCATATATATGTATATATACATATATAAATGGAAAGACAAGTGAAAGTGTTATACCCAACGCAAGTGGAATTATAGAGAAATGCCAGCACACTAAGTCCAAATTAAGCAGGGGTCCTTTATTGGCTGGTGGTCAAAAGCGGGTTCATGCCTCAAAGACTCTCGACCCCTCTAAAGCAGGGGTGCAAAGGGTTTTTTTTGTTTTTTTGGGTTTATTTTTGAGACAGAGTCTCACTATGTCACCTCAGTAGAGTGCAATGGCATCACAGCTCATAGCAACTTCAAACTCTTTGGGCTTAAGTGATTCTCTTGCCTCAGCCTCCCAAGTAGCTAGGACTACAGGCGCATGCCACAACACCCAGCTATTTTTTGTTGCAGTTGTCATTGTTGCTTTAGGTGGCCCAGGCCAGATTCAAACCCACCAGCCTCAATGTATGTGGCTGGCACCGTAACCACTGGGCCAAGCTAGTGCAAGGTTTTTTTTTTTTTTTTGTAGAGACAGAGTCTCACTTTTTCGCCCTCGGTAGAGTGCAGCAGAGTCGCTCCAGCAACCTCCAACTCCTGGGCTTAGGCAATTCTTCTGCCTCAGCCTCCCAAGTAGCTGGGACTACAGGTGCCCACTACAACACCCGGCTATTTTTTGTTGCAGTTTGGCCAGGGCTGGGTTTGAACCCACCACCCTCGGTGTATGGGGCCGGTGCCCTACTCACTGAGCCACAGGCGCCTCCCCAGTGCAAGCTTTTTATATGGTGCTTTCAGCGGGAGATAGGAAGCCTTAGCTCAAGTGGAATTTCTCCAGAAGCAAAACTTGGAAGGTTAGATCTATAGGGTGAGGGGGGTGGATATAAGACGAACTGGGGGCTCGGCGCCTATAGCTCAACCGGCTAAGGCGCCAGCCACGTACACCTAAGGTGGCGGGTTCGGATCCCCAGCCCGGACCCGCCAAACAACAATGACGGCTGCAACCAAAAAATAGCCGGGCGTTGTGGCGGGCGCCTGTGGTCCCAGCTACTTGGGAGGCGGAGGCAAGAGACTCGCTTGAGCCCAGGAGTTGGAGGTTGCTGTGAGCTGTAATGCCATGGCACTCTACCCAGGGGGAAAGCTTGAGGCTCTGTCTCAAAAAAAAAAAAAAAAAAAAAAAAAAAGACGAACTGGGGATTACACACAGACAGGACTGTGATTTCACAAGGTTTTGCAGATTTCAGCTATGTCTTAACCCCTTGGGCCTCTGTGGCCCTGGTCTCGATCACCGTAGGAAGGAACCAGGCATGACTCAGATTAGAAGTACAAGCTTGTAGGAGGTGGGCCAGCCCTTCTTTCCAGGGTAGCCCTGAGCAACCTCCGCACCAGCCTTTTACTGAGACATACAACACAGGTAAGGGAGTAATTGACAAATTACTACATGCTGAAGGCTTGGGCTCTTCTTCCACGAGAAGCCCCTGTGGACGAATGGCCCGAGGGTCCATCCCTTAGCTACAGATCATCTTGCTCAGAGGTCATCTGACTCTTGGTATCCCCTATGTCTGCAGGGCTGCAGCTTGCAAGGGGCTAACTGTAGTTACCAAGAGGAGAGGAGAAGCGCTGAAAGCTCTTAGCAAGATGGGGTAAGTCTGGTTCTTTGGCACAAAATGGAGTAGGGCCTTACAAAATTAAAGAAAGGAAGAGAAAATGGGAAAATGAAAACAAGGAGAAAGGAGGAAGGAAAAAAACCTGAATTTAGTTTCCAGCCCCAGTACTCACTGATTAGGTTTTATGAATCTGTTTCTACCTGCTGAAGTGGTCTACAGAATTATCACAAAAATACCACTGGTTCAGAAGTTTCAGACCTGACTAAAGCAAATGATTAGCTCTAGGAAATCCCATAGTGGACCATGAAAAGCAACAAATAATTATGGTTGGCAGTATTTGAGAATTGAAGAGGTGGGTATGTTTTCTCCATGAAGTCCACTCTTGAGCAGCAGCAGTAGAACCCCCGTAGGGCAGCAGCGATCACCTCCCTTCCTGAATAATAGTGTCTCATGCAGAGCACACCCCTCCCCACAAGCAGCTGAGGCTGTTGAGTATCCTGCTTCAATCAGGATGAGTCTGAGAATAGAGCAGGACAAAACCATAACCCCAATGAACCATACTATGAGGAGGTGGGAGGGGAGGTGTTTAGGAGATGACGCTGAGCTGACCCACATTCTCTAATCCTTCAAAAACCACAGATCAAAGTGGTTTCTATGCTACCCACAAAATATCCCAAATCCCAACGGCTCAGATTGGGGGCTTACTGCTGGGGCTCAGCCAACAGTGGAAACCAGAAAACATGTGCCAGAGATATCAGAATCCCACAGGGCCCAAATAATCAATTTTATTAGAGTTTTGGGGGGAACAGTCCACTCTCAAGCTTGCTCTGATATGTCCTGAGGACTCTGGTCCCAAGGCCTATTTTTTAAAGCCACAGTGGAAAACAGAAACTCTCAAATGCTTCATAAAACCAATCTTTTTGGAGGCTGGTAAATTCTTTGGGACCCCATGTGGATTCCCAGGTGCCACCTGACCCTGGGGACTCTCAGTGTTGGGAAGAGTGGCCCCAACACAATAGACAGGCTCACAGGCCACTTCACCGGCTGGCTGAAGGTCCTTCTCCAAAGAAGTACAGTCTCCAATGTTGTCCTCTTGTACATGTGGGTCACCCAATTTGGGAAACAGGGTAGGATCCCTCAGACTCAAGTTGGGGACTGAGTACTGGGGCTTGGCTAGATGTGGGAACCAGGACATCTTCTTCAGGAGAGTCATGCTCAGCTTTGCTGCAGCAGAGTAGAGACTCCCTTTCAAACTGACAGTTTCTGTGGAATCAGAGGAAGGTTGCTGCCCAGATTCTCTGCCTTTTGCAAGCTCCAGGCTTCCTCTTCCCCAGTATGTAGGCTGATGACATTTGGGTCCAGGAAGCTCAGAGGCCTCCCAGGATGTACTTTCCTTCCTCCATAGGTCATGGCCTGTCCTGGAGGATAAGGTCCTCAGTCTGCCAGGAGCCCTGTCTGCCATCTGGGAGACACATGGCCTGATCATTTTCCTGCCCCTTCTGTTCTCACTGGAAGATTCTTGGATGCTTTCTTGTTCACACCAGCTCCTTGATTCTGCTGCAGGCCTGGGGTTCCTGGGAGCCAGCTTGGCCCTAGGAACCCCTTCCTGGATCACCTGCAGTTCTCTGGCGCCCCCTCGTGGCCTCACTCTCCTGGGCTTTTCAGGCAGTGTGGAAATGGACCTTGGCTCTGACCCTTCTGGTCTATACTTCTCCAGAGCTCTGACCTGTATAGAAAGTTTTGAGCTTTTTCTGCCAATGGGCTGAACTCTCTGGAACCTCTGTGGGGAATGAGGGCCTGGCATGGAGCCATGGGCCTCACAATGCCTTTCCTGATGCCCTTGGAGTTCCTGGTCTAAGTATAATCCAGGGAGCCTCATAAGGGGTAATGAGCAAGATCCTAAGAAGTGAAACAACAAATAGGAGTCCAGAATCCGCTGGGGAAGGCCCCACTTCAAGTGTGCAATCCTCCGCCTCATAAGGGATTCCAAAAGCAGTCGTTTGCTCCTCTTGAGCATTGGCCACTTGGGTAGGACAGTGAGAGCAGTGGGAGCTCCCACCATAGCTTGGGGGGCTTGGCTGTATAGGAGAGGGGGGCGGGCAGAGGACACATGGCTCCAGGGTTGCTGAGTTGGGCTGGAAGCCTTGACTGAATCCACCCTTTTGATTCTTTGTTGTCTTCTCCAGGATTCAAGTCCGGCCTGAATCCCCTGCTGGGAGGGGGAACTGACCCCTACTCTATGTTGCCTAGCAGGAGCTGTGCCCTGGCTGGCCAGAGGCTTCATCTCAGGACAGGGAGCAGGGGCTAACCCATTCGCAGCCACTGCCTGTTCCTGTTCCATGGCCCCATATCCAGAGCCAGTGAAGGCTGGAGGCCCTGCTAGGCTGTGCTTCCTAACTGTGGGCCCCTCACTCCCAGAAGAGTCAACCTGGAGATTGGCCCTTGCAATATCCTTTTCTCTCACCTGGTCCTTGCTTCTGCCCCTTGGTGCTTGAGGTTCTCCAGTGTCCTCAGCTCTGCATTTTCTCTGGCTTCCAACATCCTGGAGTTCAGCAGCATCCTCATCTCCTCTCTCTTTCTGATTTCCTTGACCTTGTGCCTGGATCTGTCCATCAGTTTCACTTCTTAACTGTCCCTGGTCATCTCTCCCAGGAGCGTGGATCTCTGTACCATCACCATCTGCAGTCCCTCTCAGATTTCTCTTCCCTTGTATTTGACTTTCTTCATCATTCCCATCTCCAATATGTTCCTGATTCTTCCACTCTAGTGAACAGGTATTTTTATTAACTTTACTTTTTAACAGTCTCTCATTCTTTTCACGAAGTCTCTGGATCTTGCTGACATCCTCACTTTCAACCTCTCTCTGGTTTCTCTTCTCAAATGCCTGATCTTCTGCAATGTTATTCTCTTCCATCTCCTCCCAGTTCCTCGTCCCTAGTGAGTGGCTCTCTCCAGTTTCACTATCTAACTGTCCCTGGTTCTCTCTCTTGGGGCTCTGAGTCTTTACAGCATCCTCACCTCCAGGTTCTCTCTGGTTTCTCTTCTCTGGCACCTGAGTTTCTGTTCCATTCTCACCTCCTATCTGCTCCTGGTTCTTGCACTCTGATAAAAGGATCTTTCTATCAATGTCACTTCTAAACTGCAACTGGTTTTCTTTCCCAGGTGTCCAGATCTCTGTACCATCCTTACCTCCAACTTCACTCAAGTTTCTCTTCCCTTGTATTTGAATTTCTGCACCATTTTTACCTCCAATCTGCTCCTCTTTCTTCCACCCTGCTGAATGGGTTTCTCCATCAGTTTTACTTGTTAATTCATCCCAGTTCTCTGCCTCAGATGCCTGGGTATTTGCACCATCCTTGCCCTTAATATGTTCCTGATTCTTCCACTTTGGTATATGGATCTTTCCATTAATTTCATTTCCTAATTGACCCCGATTTTCTTCCCCTAGTTCCTGGGTCTCTTTAGCACAATCACCTTTAACTCCCCTCAGATTTCTCTGCCCTAATGCCTGAATGTCACTATCATTCTCATCTCCAAATTGCTCCTTGTTCTTCATCCCTGCTGGATGGGTTTCCACATCAGATTTACTTAATTGTTCCTGGTTCTTGGCCTCGTGTGGCAAGGCATTTGTATGATCCTCATCTCCATCCTTTCTCTGATCCTTCTTCTCTAGTGACTGATTTTCTGCTCTATACTCATCTCCAATCTGGTTCTGATTCCCCCAACATGGTATCTCAAATTCTCCATCTATTGCACTTGCTATCAGTGTCTGGTTTCCCCACCATGGTGCCTGGATCACCACCCAATCCTCCTCTCTTATCTCCTTTAGCTTCTTCCTGCTCAAAATCTGGGTTTCCTCAACATTCTTCTCTCTTCCTAGACCTTGGTTTTCCCACTCCAATTGGATTTCATGTTTTAATAATTTCTGGTTCTCTCCCCTAGATGCTTTGGTCTTCCCAGTTTCCTTACTTCCATCCTGATCCTGCTTCTCCCGCCCTGGTGCCTGGATCTCTGTAACCTTCTCATTTCCAATGTATTCATGTTTCCCCCACTCCAGAGTCTGGGTCTCCATAACATCCTCTTTTTTTACTTCTCCCAGATTATCTTTACCAAACAACAGGATTTGCACAGCATCCTCATCTCCAACCTGGTCCTTGTCTCTTCCCTCTTCTATTTGAATTCCTGCACCAGTATCACCTCCGGTCTGGTCTTGCTTCCCCCACTCTGGCATCTGGGTCTCCTCACCATTCTTACCTCTGATCTGGTCCTTCTTACCCAATCCTTGGGCATGGATCTCTCCCTCACCCTCCCCTCTGACCTCTTTCTTGTTCTTACTCTCTAAAGCATCTTCACCTCCATTCTTGTCCTGGTTCCCCCACTCTGGTGTTTGGGTCTCTGCATCAATTTTACAACTTAAATATTCTTGGTTCTCTCCCATATGTGCCTGGATTTCAGGAGGATTCTTACCTCCAGCTTCCCTTGGATTTCTCTTCCCTAGGTCCTGAATTTTGGCTCTATTCTCAATTCCTATCTGGTCCTGCTTCTCCCACCCTGCAGTTGAGATCTCTCCGTCAGTTTTACTTATTACTAGTCTGTGGTTTTTATACCCCAAGACTTTAGTCTCTGCATCCATGCCAAAGTCTATGGGAAGTTGCCCTCTAGATGCCTGGATTTCCCAAGCATTTTCCCCTCTGCTATTTCTCTGGCTCATCCACTCTGGAGTCTGGAGCTCACTACTATACTTTCGGCTTCCTGTCTGGTTTTCACCCCAAGATGCCCAAGCCTCTTGTGGGCAGTTCCAGGATTTCCAGATGTGCATTCCCAATAGTTGATTGGAAGGATCAGGCAAGAACTTTCTGGGAAACTGTAGCCTCTGAGCTGAAGGGAGGTTTGGAAGAGAGGTGGTTAAGGTCAGAGAGGTGGGGCCGGACCTCATGCTGATGACAGGCTCCAATTCCATCAAGTTTTTCTGGGAGTGAACCACCAGCTGCTCCACCTTGTGGGACATGTCCAAGACAGGGTGAGTATGACCATCACTGAGACACCAGGGTACCTGCCATGCTTTCCACGAACTGCCCTGAGGAAGCAGACAGGTATTTGAAAAAGAAGTGGTACAAAGGGTGGGCTCAGAATGGGTGCGGGCACTGCAACGTGGGCCCTGACACTGGTGCTGTGGAGAGAGCAGGTACTGGGCCCAGGACTCCTGGAGATTCATCCGGTATCCCCATCTCTCTTTTTGTGCCCAGTTTTGGACAGGAGCATCCAGGCCCCTGAATTTGCCAGAAGTTGGCCTGAAGAAAGTTTCTTGTCTCATGGAGGACACTGCCCACTTCTGCAGTGGCATCTGTAGGTTAGAACAGAGAAGCAAAATCCTTACATACATATTAGCTCATAAAATCCATATAGATCAAAATTCCAGTCCCTCCTATCCAGATGAGGATACTCAGGCTCATGAAAGAGGGAGTCATTTAAGTCACCCTTGTAGCAGACAGTATTCATTCATTCAAGAACGATTAAGGGATTTTTGTGAAGAGATGAAGACAGAGCAGTTGTGGCCGCATTGTTAACCTCGAGCAGTACTCAGCTTCTCCATATAGAACCCAGGAGTAGGAGATTCAGAATCAAATCTCTTCTCCCTCCCTGCTTGTGAGGTTTTTTTGTTTTTTTTTTTTCTTTTTTTAGAGACAGAGCCTCACTTTGTCACCTTTGGTAGAGTGCTGTGGTGTCATAGCTCACAGCAACCTCCAGCTCTTGGGCTTAGGTGACTCTCTTGCTTCAGCCTCCCAAGTAGCTGGGACTAAAGGCACCCGCCACAACACCCAGCTATTCCTGTGAGATTTTTTTGATCTTCAGCTGCATTTTTTCACTTTGCGAAGAACCTTATCATCAAACGCAATGGCTACCAGCAAGACAGACCCTTGCTCCATCCACTCCCGTGTATTCACTGGGAATCTCAACACTCTTGTGGTCAAGAAGTCTGATGTGGAGGCAATTTTCTCAAAATATGGCAAAATTGTGGGCTGCTTTGTTCACAAGGACTTTGTCTTTGTTGAGTATGTTAATGAGAGAAATGTCCAGGCTGTTGTAGGAGAGGATGGCAGAATGACTGCTAGTCAAATTTAGATATTAATCTGGCTGCACAGCCAAAAGTGAATCAAGGAAAAGCAGGTGTGAAACGATCTGCAGCGGAGATGTATGGCTCCTCTTTTAACTTGGACTATGACTTCCATGGGATTATTATGACAGGATATACAGTTAGTTACCCAGCATGTGGTCCTCCTCCTCCTCCTCCTCCCGTTGCTCAGGCTGTGGTGCCCTGTGGCTGGGTGTGGTAGCTCATGCCCGTAATCCTAGCACTCTGGGAGGCCTAGGCAGGTGGACAGCTTAAGTTCACAAGTTTGAGACCAGCCTGGGCAAAAAGTGAGACCCTATCTCTACTAAAAAAGAAAAACGGAGGCAAGAGGATTGCTTGAGCCCAAGACTTAGAGGTTGCTGGAAGCTATGATGCCTTGGCACTCTACCCAGGGCGACAGTTTGAGACTGTCTCAAAAAAAAAAAAAAAGCCAATGCGTATCAGGAAACACCTCATGAATGGGGAAAAGTGGCTTCAATTCTAAGAGCAGACAGCGAGGTTCCTCTTCCATGTCTGGAAAGTTGAAAGGAGGTGACCTTCAGGCCATTAAGAAGGAATTGAGGCTCGGCGCCTATAGCTCAACCGGCTAGGGTGCCAGCCACGTACACCTAGGGTGGCGGGTTCGAGTCCCCAGCCCGGACCCGCCAAACAACAATGACGGCTGCAACCAAGGGATGGCCGGGCGTTGTGGCGGGCGCCTGTGGTCCCAGCTGCTTGGGAGGCGGAGGCAGGAGACTCGCTTGAGCCCAGGAGTTGGAGGTTGCTGTGAGCTGTGATGCCACGGCACTCTACCCAGGGGGACAGCTTGAGGCTCTGTCTCAAAGAAAAAAAAAAAAGAAGGAATTGACCCAGATAAAATAAAAAGTGGATTCTTTACTGGAAAATATTGAAAAGGAACAGAGCAAATAAGCAGCAGTAGAGATGAAGAATAGAGAGTCAGAAGAGGAGCAGAGCAGCAGCTCTACCAAGGGTGTCATAGCTCATAGCAACCTCAAACTCTTGGGCTCAAGCAATCCTCCTGCCTCAGCTTACCAAGTAGCTGAGACTACAGCTATTTTCTTTCTTTCTTTTTTTTTTTTTTTTTTGCACTTTTTGGCCGGGGGTGGGTTTGAACCCACCACCTCCAGCATATGGGGCCGGCGCCCTACTCCTTTGAGCCACAGGTGCCGCCCTTTCTTTTTTTTTAATTGAGAGAGTCTTGTCTGTTGCCTGGGCTAGAGTGCCATAGCCTCAGCCTAGCCCACAGCAACCTCAAACTCCTGAACTCAAGCAATCCTCCTGTCTCAGCCTCCTGAGTAGCTAGGACTAGATGTGTGTACCACAACACCAGGCTAATTTTTTCTATTTTTGGTAGAGATGGGGTCCTACTCATGCTCATGCTCATGCTCTACCAGCTCAGGCTGGTCTCAACCTCCTGAGCTCAAGAGATCCTCCTGTCTGCATCAGCTATGGCAGTCCTTCCCTCCAGGGCCTTAAGAATACTAGGATTACAGGTGTGAGCCACTGTGCCTGGTCCCCAACTAAATTTTCTATTTTTTTGTAAATACAGGATTGCATTATGTTTCTCAGGCTGTTTCTCCTGGCCTTAACCTATCCTCCTACCTCAGCGTCCCAACGTACTTAGGATTATAGGTATGAGCCGTACCCAGCCTTAAAATTTATTTTATAGAGAGAAAGATCATGCTGGCAACTGTGTAGAAGACTAACTGTGGTTAAGCAACAGAAGTGGCCTGAACTGGGGAGAGGCTGTTACCATGGTGGTGGCTCTATCCCATATGGTTTGGCAAGGTTGAGAGAAATGATTTGAAATACAATTTGCAAGTAGAGTCCACAGGACTAACAGATGGACTGAATGTGTGGAGTGAGGGAAAGAGAGGATTCCAGGGCAACTTCTAGGCCTGGGGCCTGAACAATGCTCTCCCTGGCCAGTCTGAGTTCCCCTCTGATTTGTCCCTGGTACACAAAGCATAAAGCAAGGTCCTCATAAGAAGTGACTGAGACAGCCATGGTGCTAAAGGAAGGACAGTTAAAGTCTGTGGAACACCCTCACCTTGGTGACATTCCTCCTGCTGGGGCAGGTCCTGGTGACATGGTGCCAATAGTGCCGCACTTGCCAGATCAGAAAGAGGCAGAGAACAAGCAAGTTGCCATAGCACCGAGGGTCCTTGCAGCTGTGATCCTGAGAAAATAGGCCCCGCACTGGTTCCCACTCTGAGCCATGGAATGGCCCCACCACAGCACAGGCTCCCAGCAGTGACAGGAACATAGCAAAGCTTAGCTGAGGCAGATGGTGTTAGGGAGCTGGAGGGAAGGACTGCCATAGCTGATGCAGGCAGTTTGGAGTGGAGTGGCCCCTGCATCATAACACCCCTGTTACTGAGGCCACCTCACAAAGGACTCTGATACCCCAGACTCAGCTGCAGCTGCTGACACTGGGCTGGTGCCAGGGATGGCTAGCATGCCTTTGGTGCTGGGGCACTGCTCAAAAGGAATTAAGAGAGGGTGGTGCCTGTGGCTCAAGGAGTAGGATGCCGGCCCCATATATCGGAGGTGGTAGGTTCAAACTCAGCTCCGGCCAAAAACTGTAAAAAAAAAAAAAAAAAAAAGGAATTAAGAGAAAAAAGAACTTGTCTTATACATCCCTGTCCTGTAGTGAAGAGATTAAGTTCCCCACGTGTATGATGAGGTGGTGCACCCTGAAGTCTGCTTGATGTTTTTGTTTCTATTAGATATCTGTACCCATTTGTCCTTCTGTGTATTCCTTATTAAATATTAATGAACACTCTATTGAATATAGAGTGTTTGCTTTTGTTTTTGTTTTTTGAGACAGAGCCACCCTTGGTAGAATGCCATGGCATCATAGTTCACAGCAACCTCAAACTCTTGGGCTTGAGCAATTTTCTTGCTTCAGCCTCTCAAGTACTGTGTTTCCCCCAAAATAAGACACAGTTTTATATTTATTTTTTCTCAAGAAGACACACTAGGGCTTATTTTCAGGGGATGTCTTATTTTTATTAAGTATAATACAATAATCTACATTTATTCAAATACAGTTAAGTCATCTTCTTCTGGAACCTGACAGGGGAAGTCGACCTTCTTGGTGGGGCTGGCGCTAGTGATGCGTGAACTCCTTTCCCCTAGCCATTCGCACATGTGCAATAGGATGCCAGCGACTGCAGTTACCACATGCGCACCTGTGCCAAGTGTGGGAAAGGAGCTGTGGCAGATAAAAGGTATTCCAGTCTTCTTTACCCTCTGCGCCAAAATGCCCATCACTAGGTCTTATTATCAAGGTAGGTCTTATATTTAACAAATGCATAGAAATCCTGCTAGAGCTTATTCTTTGGGTAGGTCTTATTTTCGGGGAAACACAGTAGCTGGGACTACAGCCATGCACCACTACACCCAGCTAGTTTTTCTCTTTTTGGTAGAGATGGGGGTCTCACTCTTGCTCAGGCTGGTCTCAAACTTCTAAGCTCAAACAATCCACCCCCGTTGGCTTCCCAGAATACTAGGATTACAGGCACAAACCACTGAACCGTGCCAAGCCAAACATGTTTTTATTTGACCACTCGTCATTCCTTCCTCTTCATTCAAGGTAACCCAATTTCCTGTTAAAGAATTACTTTTGCTGCAACCAAAAAATAGGTGGGCGTTGTGGGCGCCTGTAGTCCCAGCTACTTGGGAGGCTGAGGCAGAGACTAGCTTGAGCCCAGGAGTTGGAGGTTGCTGTGAGCTGTGAGGCCACGGCACTCTACCCAGGGGAACAGCTTGAGGCTCTGTCTCAAAAAAAAAAAAAAAAATGAGTGTTGGTGGGAGAACAATTACTACCCTGAAGATTTCACTCAAAAAATAGCCTGGCTATTTTTTGGTTGCAGCCATCATTGTTTGGTGGGCCCAGGCTGGATTCAAACCCGCCACCTTAGATGGATGTGGCTGGTGCCTTAGCCACTTGAGCCACAGGCGCTGAGCCATAATACCATCTTATACTGAAGCCCACAGTTCCCTATGGTGTGTGCTCTCCCTTATTGACACAAGCTTATAATACTACAGGTGTGTTCTTGTTGGTCTTTGGCTGGAGGTTCACTGAAATAGAGTGAGACTGTAGGACTGTTCCTGTTCTCACAACCAGCTCCCCTTGAAATCTAAGCTCTACTACAGAGTCTTCTCCTAAACCCCTTTTTCAGTAGCTTACCACTAAAAATCCCTAAGTGCAACAAGTATGTCCTCTGGGTCAAGCATGGTGCAAGACAGGTAGCCAGAGTGTCCAAGGCAGCTTCAGGTCCTGCTCTCATGGAGCTTCCAATGAGATTGGGAAGGCAGACACTAAACAACAAGGTTGACCTGTGCCAACAGGGCTGTGACTCCATTCAGCAAGGGCAATTACCTGGTCTGGGTGATCAGGGATGCTTCAGTGAAGAGGTGTTGAACAGGAGTTAGCTAAGCAGGTCAATGGATGGTTGATAGAAGGAGTTAGAGAGATTGAGGTGTGTACAGCAAAAAAGGTAGATGAAAATGGATTATGGTGGTGGAAGGGAATACTGGTAGGGAAGGGCCTAGTAAGACATGGCAAGGATTTAGGAGGGCTTTCTTGTTTTTTTTTTTTTTTT